TATAGGTCGATCGAAATAATTATTAATTTTGAAATAAAGTGGTTTAAATTATTATTTTTTAATATTTGTCTAATTAAACACCTGCCCTTGAGAAAAAAATAATTATAGCATAAATATTTTCAGCTATTGCTATGAAACAAATAGTTTTTTATGAGGCGAAAACAGCGAAATTTAACGAAATTGAGACCTCTTATTTAAGACAATGAAAGATATTTAGAAAAAAAGAAACAGCGCATTTTGGAGATGAAGATGTTTAGCTATTAACGCGCTGAATAGATTTCGCCTTTTTATTATCGATTGCCTTATAATGGTACACGAACAAAGCTCGAAATTGCGTTGGGTGCGAGAGAGCTCTATTTACCGTTTGATTTATCTAACATAGACCACATAGATGAACCAAAAAAAAAATTTAGCCATTACTTATAATCTGGGTATTTATGTGTTATCAAAATATTTTACTCTGAAACAATAATTTGCTGTAAAAAAAGAAATCAAAGTGGCGCTAATGATTCGATGTGAGTCAACTTTAAAAGACTGTAGCCTTAATACATAATATTTTTTTTATAATTTAAATGAATATTTTAATACCAAATAATTTATATCAAGTTTTGTTTCTCAATTATTGCATACACGATATGGGTAAACCGTGTGTAACATTTGGTTGCAATGTCACCCGCAAATTGTACAAACACAGTTTACTGGCAATAAATATTCTGATTCTGGCTAAGATGGAATGCCTCGTTTTAAGAGTCTCGAGTTATCCATTATACGAAACACGACGACACTAAACTGCTATTTTATGCTGGTATGCTCCGAGAGCGTGATCGTACCCTTGTCTAGCTGACCCATTCGTACTACAACTGTATATCCGTTCTACCACATATATAAAGGTGCAGGATGGCCCGTCTTTGTATGAGAATTTGCAAAATTCTTCACACAAATATAAGTTTGTCTACGTATGGTAGACAGTAATAGTGAACGGGCGACACTAAGTTACATCACAGTTTAGGCCTTACAGTGGGAAACGAATGTACTTGATGTACATTCGAAACGAATGTGCAGAGCGGTTTGGTCCTTGTAGGGTAGGGGGCGGGTCGATCTTGTGCTAGCGCACTGCACTGAGTTTGACAGGCAATACAACATGCGGGTTACGCGAGCGTGTTTTATAGAAGTACTCAGTAAAATTGAATTCAAATTAAGGCCATGTTTCCGTATGTATGTATGCGGATACACAGTGCAGTTTACGTGGTAGAGCCATGCTGCAGTTATATTAGTAGTATAGTTGTAGCACGAATGGATCGGCTCGACCGGGGAAGGACCACGCTCTCTCAGAATACCAGCGTAAAATAGTAGCTTAATGCTGCTGTGTTTCGTATGGTGAGTGTAGAGAACCGGAGACCCTTTTTACTGGAAATGAGGCATTCCATCTTGGTCCTTACGGGTGACAACGCATCTGCATTTTGATTTGTAAATTACGAATCAAAATGCAGATGCGATTACGAATCGTAATCGAAGATACATGTAGGTGTCTATAAACCACAGCGACCACTTACCATCAGATGGATTGTGTGCTCGTTTATCACCCTATTCTATAAAAAAAAAACACTACAATCGAAAACTAAAAACATGTATAAAAAGAAAGTGTCACGAAAATATTTGGCAGTACTTGTAAATGTGTTTTATCTTATAGTATGCACATAATTTTAATAAATAATAATGAGTATTATCATATCCAAAATTATTTTATTTTCATTTTCGTGACAACCCCTAGCATATACGCTGCCGCGTAAAATACCCACGCGGGCGGTGCTTCACCTATAGTTCGTAAAAGATAGCTTGATCTCTGCGACAGCTGTCAGTAAAAATCACGCCTATGAAGTCCTGAATTTCTTAGTAGTACAGACACGACAGTACCTGTCAATGTCATACTTTATGGGCATGCACTAATTAGGTCGGCATGCCCATAAAGTATGACATTGACAGGTACTGTCGTGTCTGTACTACTAAGAAATTCAGGACTTCATAGGCGTGATTTTTACTGACAGCTGTCGCAGAGATCAAGCTATCTTTTATGAACTATAACATCAAAGGCGTTTCACAACTGTAAGGTCTCTAAACCGTGGTTACATCTTCATATTATGTAAACTAATGTTTACATAATATATGTATTTTGGATTCGAAAGTAAATATCACTGGGACAATTTTAAAGTGGGACATCTTCGACTGCCTTTTAATCAAACTCTTGTTAATCCGAACTTTAAATAAATAAAGGCAGAGTTTATTGGTAATCGAATAATTGTTTATTGATTGAAATACAATATTTAACTAAGATAAACAAAAAGTTAACAGCTGCGTGTTGTGGCTGATGAGAATATCCACTACTCGGAAACTACAACTTCAAGCTTTCGTCATTATCCTCAAGAACCCCTACCATTCGCTCATTGAGAATCGTCTTCTGCAGTCTTCAGTTCCTGCAAGCCAGTCCAACTTGTCTTCATCTCGACTCACCGCAGATTTATAATGCGACTTCTGGCACTTGCTCCGGCACATCGTTCTCACCGGCATCACTTGCCAGTGCGTAGTACGGCTGCATTACACATCGGCATATCATTCGCACCGGTGTCACTTGCCCTTCACTACGCACACAGCATGCAATCCCCACCGGCATTAAAAGGACACACCGGCAATCGAGACTGCACTATCGACCTCCGGACTGAGCAGGGGGTGATGTGGCGGCGCTGTCGTCGCGCCACCGCGCACACCGAAACACACCGAAGCCTAAATCGCGCTATTAACATTCCGAATCATAGACAGTATATATAGAACTTCTCCGAACTTTGGCCGTTGGCCGCTCCCTGGGCAGAACACCTTGCCCGGCGGGAGATTTCCCCTTTTCCTTCCACGGCCACACTATGTACCGACATGTTTGTAATCACTAATGCTGTAAGTAAATAGGTCGTTAGATACTTATTTCATTAGCTTTATCATATTTATGCCTGTTTCTTTACGCCAACCCAGTTGCTTCTTATTATTATTACGGTTATTTCCCATTTTAATTTTACGTCGTCCTGTTGCGTAATGTGTATTCTGATTGTAAGCGACACAGCTTCCCCCTTCAAAAGCCGAAGCAAGACTGATGGAAATTGGAAACTGATCGGGCGGCAAGAAACAAGCTTAAAGACGCCGATAGTTTAGGTAATTTCTTTTTACAGTGAAAATAATGGTAATTAAAAAAATAAGCCCTGCTTTAAAGTTAGTTCAGTTAATATGCAAAGTTTCGTGATCTATAGTTCCGCCGTTCAGAAAATGCGTTCCTGCACGTCGCAATTGAACTGACGACGTAAATTTGTAATGGCGTTGCAGTTACCATAAAAATATTTTTGCTGGTTGTTTACCGTTTTAACAATTGATGAGCATTAAAACAACATTATTATATCAACAATCAATGAATGTTATAATTTTGTGCCAAACTGAGTGTCAAATATCTTGGTAAACAATATTTTTCTAAATCTATACTGCGCTATTACAAGGTTATGTCAGCACTTTATATTTGTAGTGCTGTGCTAACAGTAACAGGCAATAACAGTATCGTAATCTGTTCTTATGCAGTTTACTTTATAAAATAATACGTTTTGTTTTTCTTTTTAAGAATTTGAAAATAATGGACTATAAGATAACTTTTATTAAATATAAAAATAAAACTACGACCAAACCGAACGCGCGAAAGAAAGTAGCATTTTTATATTTAGGTTGAAAATGGTAACCCCAAATGGCGTTATGGGCCGCCATTTTGTGACGCTAAAACACTCGTCTGTTGTCGTTTCATGCGCATAGACCACGTTCTTCAAGTGTTTTCGATCTGTTTTTATTTGATTACCCGGCTTTCGTTTAATGGACTGTTTCTGCTTTTCAAACTGACATCGGCGCTAAATCGGACTTCGATTGTGTTTTGTATTGCGTTCTTACTGGCATTTCAATCAAAAACCACAAATAACTACCACGAGGAAATGAATGCCACTACATTTAAAGAGTGGTTCCAGAATGTGCTTTTGCCCAGCCTACCAGAGCCTTCTGTAATATTCATGGATAATGCCTCCTATCACTCGTCAAATACAGAAACCACCTACCCAAGCTAATAAAAAAGAAGAAATGGTGGCTTGGTTACAAGCAAAAGGCATTGACGCAAATATGCAGATGCTAAAACCAGAGCTAATTAAATTAGTTAAAGAAAATAAAGCGGCAAATGTGCGATACGAAATCGATGAACTGGCTCTGGAGTACGGTCATCGCGTTCTAAGAATTCCACCGTATCATTGCCAATATAACGCGATTGAGCTAATCTGGGCTCAAATAAAAGGTTACGCCGCCCGCCACAATACTTCCCCGCCATTCAGCACGAAAAAAGATGATGACCCTATTAAAAGAAGCCTGCGGGGAAGTCACAAGAGATGACTGGGCAAAGGTTGTTGAGAAGACTAAAAACCTGATTGTGGAACATTTTGACCGAGATATCAGGATTTATTCTGTTATTGATAATAATATAATTATACATGTAGGCGAAGATGATGATGAAGACACCACCTCCTCAAGCGAATCGGAGTCTGATTAATATTCTTTACGCACATTCAATTCAATGTACTTTATTGCATAGAAATACAAATTGTAACTTTGTAACAAAGAATAAATAAAACAATTTTATTATATTAATATTACCTTTTTTTGGTTTCCACTTAAATTACTAAAATATAATTGGATGCAGATGGCCTTTGTTCAGCAGAAATGATAATGATGAATTGGAAGTAAAATCTTATTTGAAAGGTTTCGAAAGAACATTAAAACTCATTTATCACTACCATCATAATCATCATTACCAAGGAATTGCACAAAGCACGGTCCTGAGCCACCATTTTCATTTATACATTTCTTTAAATATATTGAAGTATTTTTATTATAGTACTTTTTTAAATTTATTATATTGAATTATTTTCTTTATGCAACAGGTTGTCGAAAAAGCCCGCGACACGTTCAACTGTGGCGTCACGAGGCCAATAGAATGGCGTCGGCAACAACTGAAGAATCTCCTGCGTTTATACACAGAGAATCAAAATGCTATGATAGCAGCACTGCAAAAGGACCTCCGTCGAAGCAAGATGGAGGCAGTTCTTCTCGAGACCGACTACCTGATAAATGATCTTAAAAACACTCTGAATAATTTGGACGAATGGGTTAAACCCGAGCGGGTGAGTTACAAATTGTTATGGCTTATGATTACGATACTTACATCCAATATATTATTTATTTAAAGTCAGTAAGTAAAGTTACAGCCTATATACGTCCCACTGCTGGGCACAGGCCTCCTCTCATTTCTGAGAGGGTTTTAGGGCAAGGAATAGTCCGCCGCGCTGTCCCAATGCGTGTTGGCGAACTTCACATGTCTTCGAAATATTTTTTATTTTATTTCTCAGACATGCAGGTTTCCTCACGATGTTTTCCTTCACCGCCGAGCACGTGGTAAATTATTTATTTATTTACATTTTATTATAAACCTCAATAAAAGGAATACAAAGGGCGGACTTAATGCCTTTTGACATCCTCTCCCAGTCAACCCAAGTATATTTTATAATTAATTTCCTTAGCTTTCTGATATTGATGGATTTTATTTTAAATAAAACTGAAGTGGCAAACGTTAGGTACGTTCACAACTCACCTGATAGTAAGTGACTGCTGCGGTCTATGAACACCTGTAGCCAACTACTAACAAGGAACACTACAGATGCGTGATCACTGGTGAGGAGTGTTTTTATATGTGGTAGAGCCACGCCGCAGCTATATTATGGTTGTAGCACGAATGTGTCGGCTCGACCGGGTAATGACCACGCTCTCACAGTATACCAGCGTAAAATAGCAGCTTGATACTGCTGTGTTTCGTATGGTGAGTGGAGAGGTCCGGAGATCCTTTTTTTACTGGAAACGAGGCATGCCCTATTAGTCCTCAGGGGTGAACGCATCTGTGTTTTGATTCTTAATCGAGGATAAATATAGATGTCTATGGGCCACAGCATCCACTTACCATCAGGTGGACTGTGTGATCGTTTGTCACTCTTATTCTATAAACAAATGACTAAGATGGAATGACACCTAAAATTGGTTTGCAGTTTTTATTTAAAGAAAAACTCATTTTAAGTCCTAGATTGTGACCGATTTCGCTTATAGACTAACTTCTAGATGGTAGGACTGATCTCCTACCTAGGTATCTCCCTCTTACCATTTCTGCCGCCAAGTATAGAGAACCAGTATAATTACATGTTGTGAGGCATTCCATCTTAGTCCTCATAGTTGACAACGCATCTGTAGTGTTTTTTGTTTTTATTTTTTTTTTTATAGAATAAGCACACAGACCACCTGAAGTGGATGCTGTGGTCCATAGACATCTACATTTATCTTCAAATCGAAACGAAAATGCGTTGTCAGCCCTGAGGAATAAATGGAATGCCTCGTTTCCAGTAAGAAGGGGTCTCCGGATCTCTACACTCGCGTGGTCCTTCCCCGGTCAAGCCGACCCATTCGTGCTACAACCATAATATATCTACAGCGTGGCTCTAGCACGTATAAAAGTTGGTTCCAAATGTCGATGGACCGCAGTAGCCATTTACTATCAGGGGGGCTGTAAGTTCGTTGACAATATAAAACAATCCTCTTGTCGTGGAGTCAACTTGTTTAAAGGTAGGTAATAGGTAAACGTCATAACAATAATACCGTATACTTATTTCTCAACCATTCGAGCCATAAATAATATTGTCGAGAAGTCACGGTATCATTATTTATTTTAATTGATTTCAACGTGATGACTAGGTACTTTTATAGATGACGCAATAAATGTACCTACATTTTTACAGGGAAAAAATAAATTAACTGCTTAGTGTTAGCTTACTAACGTGACATGAAAAAACGTAATAAATATCGTTGATGCTATTAACGGTAATTTGCATATTGTTTTTTTTTCTTTTTGTTATCGTAATAATGTACCTTGAGCCATTTTTATGTCATCATCATCATCATCATCATTACAGCCCTTCACAAGTCCACTGCTGAACATAGGCCTCCCCCAAGTAATGCCACAAAGCACGGTCCTGAGCCACCTGCATCCATCGACTTCCTGCATGTCTTACCAGGTCGTCACTCCATCTAGTGGGGGTCGCCCTACACTACGCCTACCGGTACCAGGCTGCCACTCGAGAACCTTTCTTCCCCATCGGTTATCGGTTCTTCGAGCTATATGGCCGGCCCATTGCCACTTCAGCTTACTAATCCGTTGGGCTATGTCGGTCACTCTGGTTTTACTGCGGATATCCTCATTTCTGACTCTATCACGCAGTGAAACTCCGAGCATAGCCCTTTCCATAGCTCGCAAGCGACCTTGAGCGTCCTCACACGGCCAGCAGTGAAGGACCACGTCTCAGATCCGTAAGTCATCACTGGCAACACGCACTGGTTATACACTTTAGTTTTCAGAGATTGAGGTATACCTGACGAGAAGATTTATGTAGCTGATTTTTACGTTGCGGCATTATTCTTGATTCCAATTTTTATGGTTGTAGCACGAATGGGTCGGCTCAACATTGGAAAGAGCACGCTCTCACAGAATACTCATATTACAACTAGTCTAGAGAACCGGAGACCCTTTTTACTGGAAACGAGGCATTCCATCTTATTTCTCTGGGTAGACAACGCAACTGCATTTTAATTTGTAATCGGGAATAAATTCAGGAGTCTATGGGCCACAGCATTCACTCACTGACTGTATGCTCGTGTGTCACTCTTATAGGTATTGTATAAAAATATATAATGCTCAAGAAAGACTTGAATTGACTTAATTTTTCCCCTATCTTGAGTATAACTACATAACGAATGACTGAATGACTTGAATTGACTTAATTTTTCCCCTATCTTGAGTATAACACAACACTATAAATAGTGTTGATTCCTTTCGAAAATGATTCTGTAGAACTGTCAGTTTTACATATAAACTGCTGCATAAATTTTTTGTTGACTGTTTGTAAAGTGGTTGCTGTATATTCTATCGAACCGCGACTTTGCTACGGCAAAATCTGCTGATTTAATTTATTTGTAATTTTGATTTATTTGATTTTCTTAATGATTTTAAGAAATAAATCATTAATTTACAAAAACAGAATAAGTGTGCAAGTAAACAATTAGATTAGTAGTAGAATACTGAAATAATGATTAGAAAAAATAATGTTTAAGATGTTCCCTTTTGTATTTTAACTATTATAAGCCACTAAAACTATTATAAGTCAAGCACTGACTCTATCATAAGTGGTGATGTAGCTAAAGATGCAGACTGATGATTGCTCGTAGTAGTAACGGCCAAATAAACACCATTTACATTATTTTTTTCTACTACTTATCGTTAAAGTCCCTTTTCTACCAGAAGCACAGAATAAATAATAGTACTACGTACAGAAGTTGCACTCCTTTGATGTCGACTGCTTGCCGATGTTTAATAGCCTACATAATTATTTTTAATCAGATAAATCGCGCACGCAAGCTAAATAAAACTTTATCGCTGCGCGTTAGTGACTATGATCGACTGACCATACTTTCGCCGCTATGTGAGTTCTGCGATGCCTAACGCATGCAAATTGCAAGGTCATTCGTCGGGAATCGCAACGCTTGGTTCGGAAGAAATAGGTAGATAGTGTAAACAACAAATAAATCTGAAATAGGATTCCTAACAGAAATGTATCTATTCTACTTAGTTAAAAATCTTGTTAGTATACAAAGTTTTAATTTTAGTATTTTGTGTTATTATAACTTAAAATCACAAAAGACAAGTAGGTATAGGTGTGTAAGTAAATACTTGGATAGTGAAGTAAATTTCTACTAAATTTTGTAATAAAGTTCGTAGACATTAAATAAATTATTACTTAATTCTTTTTTGCTATAAGTACCTATCTAACAATAAAAATTAAATAAATTCACGTTTCATAACTTCCTACTAAAATCCTTCAGTAATAAATAATGATATATCTAAAAGATATTGTTGGTTATTTAGCGTCTATCCACGCAACAATTATAGTAGGAACGACGTTTTGTCATATTAAAATTTACTAAATAATGGGTTATATACATAATAATATATATTCTTAAATTATGTTCTTAAATTACATTAAAACTTTTGAACTATTTTATCCTATACTTAAATATACTAAACACTAAACAATAACTATTTCAACAATATTTACAAAATGTTATATACGTTAAAAAACTTTAACATTCAATCGCCTCCAACGCGCGCGTCGCGATTTTAGGTAATAATTTCACGTAGGTAGCAAGAGTGATAGAGGCCTGCCAGAAGCATGTCTTGGTACTTACCGCGCTCTTAACTATATCTGCCATCAAGCGTTGCATCATGTGACTTTGAAAAACATCTTTATTACAAGCATTAAGTTATTTCAGACCTCAGAGTGGCAATGCACCTGCGTTGCTTCTTTGAAGTTGGTTCTCCATGGGCTACAATAGCCCATTAAATGATCCATTTATTCGTTCAGTAAAAGAAAGTTGTTTTTTTTTTTGGAGTTTATCGTGAGGTCCTGACACTTACGCCCGGTTTCGGTATTTATAAAATGTTTTTTTTTCGATAAGGGCTGTTTTACATTAAGTGCATGAATATCCTTTTTTAAACATTGAAGTAATATTTACTAAGTTACAAAAAAATATACAAGGTCTCTCTATTACCAAGTTTAAATATTTAATTAAACAAAAACGGTATAAAAAGGGTTATTACGATGTAAATGAATACATGGCTGATAATAACCCCTGGGAATGTCGCTTCCAAGCTGTTTCTAAAATAAATTTTGTAAATATTCTGTGACCCTTGCAATCGTTATTTTTTTTTAAAGGTCCCGCTGGGTTTCTTGCTAATTCTTCCCAGGACAGAGGCTTTTTTCGAACCAGTGGTAACGTAAAATGTTGACTTTCAATAAGAATTACTTTTAATCTATATTGAATAAAAATTATTCTATTCTATTCTATTCTATTCTAAGTACCAGAAGAGGCCGTAACTTGGTGGTTTGCAAGGCCGTAACTTGGTGGTTTGCAATGCTCGTTAAAGCCCATATGTTCAAACTTGGTCTGTGCCTTAAAAAACAACTTATGCACCGGTAAAAGCTCTTAAGGTGAATCCCTGACCAAAGTGTTGCGAAAGTGCGTTTTTCAG